GGGGGAAAGGGCTTAAAATCAAAAATTTTTGGATCTTAGCATTTCAAACTCTCGAGGTTCGCTCTCAAAATGGCGAAAAATGTGGAAAATTTTCGAAATTTGAAAAAACGCGAATCCAAGGAATTAAATTCCAGGCAAAGGGCTTAAAGTCAAAAATTTTGGGATCTTAGCACTTCAAACTCTCGAGGTTCACTCTCAAAATGGCGAAAAATGTGGAAAATTTTCGAAATTTGAAAAAACGCGAACCCAAGGAATTAAATTTCAAGCAAAGGGCTTAAAATCAAAAATTTTGGGATCTTAGCACTTCAGACTCACGGGATTCACTCTCAAAATGGCGAAAAGTGTGGAAAATTTTCGAAATTTGAAAGACGTGAATCCAAGGATTTAAATTCCAGACAAAGGCTTTAAAGTCAAAAGTTTTGGGATCTTAGCACTTCAGACCCACGGGATTCACTCTCAAAATGGCGAAAAATGTGGAAAATTTTCGAAATTTGAAAGAACGCGAATCCAAGGGATTAAATTCCAGAGAAAGTGCTTAAAATCAAAAATTTTGGGATTTTAGCGCTTCAAACGCACGGGCTTCACTTTCAAAATGGCGAAAAATGTGGAAAATTTTCGAAATTTGAAAAAACGCGAATCCAAGGAATTAAATCTCAGAGAAAGGGCTTAAAATCAAAAGCTTTAGGATCTTAGCCCTTCAAAATCAAAGGGCCCACTCTCAAAATGACGAAAAAGGTGGAAAACTTTCGAAATTTGAAAAACGCGAAGCCAAGAGCTTGAATCTCACGGAAAGGGCTTAAAGTCTAAAGCTTTGGGGTCTTAACGCTTCAAACTCCTGCGCCCCAATCTCAAAACGGCGACAAAATTTGGAAAATTTTCGAAATTTGAAAAACGCGAAGCCAAGTCAAAAGCTTTGGGGTCTTAGGGCTTCAAACTCACGGGATTCACTCCCAAAACGACGAAAAACGTGGAAAATTATCGAAATTGGAAAAACGCGAAGCCAAGAGAGTTCTGGGATCTTAGCCCTTGACTTCAAACGCACGAGATCCAATCCCAAAACGATGGCAAAACGTGGAAAATTCTCGAAATTTGAAAACGCATATCGCTTACGTCTTTGCCTTGCTTAGTTTCTTATTTTGGGGAGGGGGGATCCTAGTGGGAGGGATGTTGTCGGACGCTCCAAGCTAGTATAGTTTGCTAGTGATGTCGTGACGAGAAATGTGCTTGGACAATAAAAACGATCATCAACGTCAACCTAAACCTCTGTAGCGTTATCATGCACATTAAGACCGCTCGCTGACATTTCGCACTTAGTGATGTCTGTTTGTTTCAAAGACAACAGTCTCATCATGAAGATATCGTTCAAGATGGATCTTCAAATAAAAAAAATCATCAAGATCAACGAACGTCATACATAAAAATAGATCTTCCTCTTGCTTGCGCGTGGTCTCGACAACGGTTTCCTCCTTCTCGATTATGTGCCGTTTTTCGTACGTCTCGATCATTTGCACGACTTTCTGGAACTTGTCGTCCGTCGTCGTCATCAAGTCCTTGATCTGATCCTTTAGGCGGTCATTTTCGGACCGCAAACTTGCATTTTCCTCACGGAGCTGCCGCAAAGCTAACGCATCTCCTACTGTCGGAATAATGACTGAGCCCTGCCCTTCTTCTACAACCGCTGGATAGGAATTGCGATCACCAGCCTCACGCTGATTCAAGCCACCCGGTGGTTGCAAAGCGGGTATTGCATTCACTGGAAACATCTTTTTTCATGAAAGAAGTGACATAGAAGTGACATAGAAGTGACATAGAAGTGACATAGAAGTGACATAGAAGTGACATAGAAGTGACATAGAAGTGACATAGAAGTTGTAGCTAAAAATTCGCAGATGATGTAACTGTCCATTTGTTGAGACTTCCTTGACGAGCAATTCGTCATCAGTGCATCTCAAAGTCCCGAAGGATAGTATTAGAGCTACCGCGCTCGCATCCCCGAGAACCTCCCTCGTCCCTTTTTCTCCTTGAAAAATGGGCCAAGGATGATGTTGAGGATGGTCCAGCGGTAGCCTTAATAGTAAGAAGGAGCGTTAGCCTAGTGACCACGGGATACAAATCAACTGCAGACCCAAATTCCAGAAGGAAAGGGCGCAATCGCGAACACGAAGTGAATCGCATCAAACGATCTGAGTTAGATGTTCAACGGGATACCTGCCATCAAAACGATCCGTGCCATCCAGAAGAATCAACGGGATCAACCGGTGATCTTTTCCTAAATTCAGTCTTTTAACCCGCTCGCTCCAAAAACAAAATGATGAATGGACGAGAGGATTGATGCGAGTAATTAAGGGCAACCAAGGTAATATAGCCTTGCCGGTAGAAGTCTTTACACTTTATATAGTTGCTTATAGTATATTTTTGCTGTTCCTGTTTCTGTTTGAGCATCTTTATTATTTTTGACTCCACCGCGCCCACCACCTAGAGATCCATCATGTGTGATGAAATTTATCTGTAATTCTAATTTCGTTTGTGGGTGCCACCACACCCGTCCTTCAGCGTGTCCGTTGTCGCATCATATTCGATCGAAATGCAGCAGCATCCCGAGAACTTGTTCGGATTCGTTGCCTCGCGC